AGAGATAGATAGAGAGAGAGAGAGAGAGAGAGAGAGAGAGAGAGAGAGAGAGAGAGAGAGAGAGAGAGAGAGAAGTTGAAAACAGAACTGTAGCCTTTATTACATAGATTTTTTTTTCGAACAAAAAAGTGTCTGACTAAAGCAATCTAAATCTAGTCTTTCATGCCCCCATCTGATTCAATTTTCACCTTGTATTTCATGACATGATGAGCAGGTTTCCTATGCCACCTCCTTCTCTTTAAGTAAAAACATTTAGGCTACACGTTTTTTTAGGTGGAGAAGAAGTCGGTAGAAAATTAGATAAGAAATGCATTGACTAACCCCCCCCCCGCCACACTTTAAAGAGAAAACTAAAACCCTTGAACAAATTGAAGCACTCTGTCAGTGGCTGCAGCTCTCATAATTGCATGGGACTTTCGTCATCTTCTCTTTTTCAGTCAAATCACTATCTTGAGCTTTGCAGGAATCCATGGTTCTTATATCAGCGATTGTCAGATATATCAGCGAAAATCAGTCTTTCTCTATCATAGACCAAAAGTACACACTGTTTTAACCCTATCCGTACGTCGTGTTTTACTATTGTATCCATACGAAGTGGGGAACTGTGCCACCACTTTCCATAGAGGAAATTTAGAAATTTAGGCCTACGCTTTGCATAGCAGTCTGTCAAAATGATTTTTTGAAAAATACTGAAAGTTTCAAAGAGATCTTCGCACTAGAAGTATTTTTAAATGTGAAGAATACAACCCCGAGGGTACAAAATGTCCCCAGGGCGTACGAATAGGGATAAACAAGTTGATCAACAATTATTTAATAGTGTGTTAACTAAACCCAAGATTAAAATGAAACGAAAAAAGTCGGAACTCTCTATTCTCTTCGGTAGGAAGTTAAAATAAGTACAAATCCTGTTAGATCTACCCACAGAATTCTACGTAGAATTCTGTGGATCTACCGGATGTTTTTAGCCTCTATCGACGAAGCATGTAGGCCAAGAAGCCTCTCTGGGCCTAGCTTACAAGAACCTTTTTGTCGTAAGTCCTAGATTCTAGATCTAGATCTAGATCTAGATCTAGATTACAAGGATACTGTCAAGTATAGTAAAACGTAAAGATCTACAGTCAGGGTGTGCAGAACATGCATTATTACCTGACTTTTATGTTTTTCACTTGATTGGGGAAAAACCGTTTAGGGAGTGACACGGTAAACTAAACATAATTTGTAGTACAGCAGTACAGCAGTACAGCAGATCCTATGCCGATATCTACATCTATTTAGTTTTAGATCTTCGATCTAGATAATTTAGAGGGCAGAGCAAACATGTATGATGCTTAATCTACACCTTTCTCTCGGAAGTTTTGATGGCTGAATAGATAGCGCGTCTGCATTTGTCGTTTGAAGTCGTGTTATGATTTTTGGAGCGGTTCGATCCCGGTCCCGGAAAGTTTTTTTTCTTCTCCTGACTGACCAACAGTCCCATATAAATTATAGGCCTGATTTGTAGAGTTGCTTTGAAGTTGTTTAAAAAAAATAAAATATATTAGTGATTAAAAATGGAGGAGAGGGGGGGAGGTGGTGGTAGATCTGGAAGTTGCTATTCTCATCCGGGGTGAGAATAGAAAAACGATCTACCTCTCACCCCGGGTGAGACTTGCCAGCGTAGGCTATTCTCACCCGGTGCGAAACAAGACCTGCTTTTCCTCATTGTAGAATACTGTCTATCAGTGTGGATGATCAAATTGATAAAAGCCAAGAAAAAATTACGTTATAGCACAAAAGTTTAAGCTAATTTGATCGTCTTCAAAGATGCTATGGCTATTTCACTGTTCGAATCGAGCCGAACTACGCGGGTCGCCATTTTGTTTTGCCCGGAAGTTCTCGCAAGATCTACTCCTCCCCTCTCTCTCTCTCTCTGTCTCTTTCTGAATACTGTCTATCGGTGTGGACGATCAAATTGACCAAAACAAAGTTAAAAAATGATGTTAAAGCACAAAAGTAAATTAATTTGGTTGTCTACAAAGATGCTACGGCTATTTAACTTTTCGAATCGAGCCAAACTACGCAGGTCGCCATCTTGTTTTGACCGGAAGTTCTCGCGCTACTCCTCTCTCTCTCTCTTTCTCTCCCTCTCTCTCTCCACTGCCCACAGACAAAATTGTACGCTTTTAGTAGGCTACAGTTGTAATGGGACGTTTGTTCACGGCACAGACTTCTACAATTTTTCTGTTATCACAGTGTAGAATTCTGTGGTTTAGGGTGAAAGCAAAATTTGTTGGCCTAGATCTAGGCTATAACGGTGAACGCGCACCGGGTGAGAATAACCAAAAGACTCGCCTGCACTATTCTCATCCCGGGTGAGAATAGAGGTGGCCGGTAGATCTAATCTAGATCTAGATCTAGATTCAGATAGATCTAATCCTACTGCGTCTTTACGGCAATTTTCGTGCGGTCTTCCATCATGTCCAAGTAGGCCTACTATCTAGATCTAGAATCTAGATCTAATCTAGAAGATCTAGATCTAGATCTAGGAAATCCGAAATATTATAGAAAACACGTCGTTCCATGTGGGTATCCCAGGAAGTGATGACATCACAGTACTAAAATTAGCAGCCAATCAGAAAGATGCGTCTTTTTTACGTTTAACGGCATGTTAGTCTCAGTATCTACGTACACGGTAACTGGGCTCCTAGCCTCAGTATCTGCGTATACGGTAACCGGAATGAAAATAAATCAATATATTTTGTCCTGTGCTGCCACTTGCTGAAAAAAAGAAAGTCATACAAGCGTCTTGTCCGGCTCGCCATCGTGACCTGTCAGTGAATCTGTGCGTATGCATCACATTGTGAGTACCGGTTAGAGTCACCAAAGTTCATTCAGGGAGAAGACCCCCCTGCAACCCCCCCTCATTAAAAAAAAAAGGCCACTTCAGATTTTGTTTCCGATTGTGTACATAACGTATAAATGTCTATGGAGTTAGGCCGGGACCACTTCTTCCGAAGAGAACCCGACTGAGAATGAAGTTTACTCCAGGAGGTCTAGTAGACTGTATTGTACTTTTGTTGTTATTTCGTTGTCGCAGTTATGGAAGGGGAACTGGAGAGACAGTATCTGAGAAATGACATAGTCTAAGACTCAGTCTCTCAGTGTTAGGCTATACTAAGCCTAGATTTTAGAAAGGCTGCTGTGCTTAATTCCCAACGTGTTGGGAATAGTACAAATTGAATAAATTTTCAACCTGTATTGGGAATAGTAGAATGTGTTGGGAACTAGATCTATTAATAGCCAACACACGAAGCTGCAGAGAGCTCCTAGGACACCTCTGTGATTAGCCCCAATACAGATGACGTTTTTCTGCCATCTATTTTTGTCGTCTTCCGGGGCTTCCCTCGCCAGTTGACTATAATCTAGATCTTATCGTAGCAAGCCCTGCTTTGCCGTTTAACGTATGATGGGCTACGTCACTAGGTTTCATCGCCGACTGCTTGGGCTCTGTGTGAGCGTGTGTTGGCGCTCAGGCTTGTGTGTGTGTGTGCGCGCAGGCTTGTGTGTGTGTGCGTGCGCTTATTTAATAATAACACTTTGGATCATCATGACTGAAACTTAAATGCATGTATTGCCTCTTCATTGATAACTTTTAAATTGTGGGATAAATAACAAAAAGAAACCAAAAAGCTAAAAGATAATTTTTGTACGACATGAAAACATATATAAGTAACAAACATTAGAAACAAACACACAGACAGGCATCTTAAAATGGTGCAGACTCATTGTAAAGTAGATACTGATGACAGTTATATATATGTCATTATAATGCGCAGATATATGTACTGCACAGAAACAGTGTTTTGATGAGCCTGCAAACCTCTTTTGAAAATGTCACCTCTATCTCATGACATTCAGCCAGCTGCAGGCCATAATAGTGTAAGGGCGTATAGTTGTAAACCTGTGTTTCATTCAAGTTTGTGTTTGGTGAAATAGTGATGTTTTTTATGTTAAATGAGAGAATAAATGGTCCCAGGAGTTGAAGAAACTAGAAAAAATATATAGCATAATAAGACTTCTTGTTGTACATTTTATTGTTTTGATGCTTCATTGTCGTTTTTCTTTTTATCAATATAAATTGCACCATGGAGTCATTATTTGATATCATTATTATTGCAGACTTCCAACTTCAGCGTTGAAACAAAAATGGAAGAAGCCAGTGGGGTACTCGTGGAGATATCCTTTGATGACCTTGTTTTTTATGAACGCTGTGGAGGTGGAACATTTGGCAGTGTTTATAGAGCACTATGGAGGTCCACAAATCTTGTTGTGGCTGTAAAGAGGCTGCTGGTGTTGGAAAAAGAGGTAGCAATTTTATTTAGTTGAGTTTGTTTGTGGAGTTGGAGGCTCTTGCTGGTTCTACTGCGCCTGTGTCTTTTATTGATTGATTTATTAACATTTGAAAGCAATTTAAAATATTTTGAGCAAAACTTATTATGTGCCAAAACTTTTGTTATCTGACAGCTTACTTTTCTTCCAATCTTCTTTGCTCGTTTCTTCAAAGCGTTAGTTGTGGTCATGGCCCATCCGCCTACCTTGATTCCTTGGCAGTGTCAACAAATTCGATTTGCTATATTATTGTCTTGTCTTCTACTAGTGAGCAGGATTCTTTAACAGGGATTGTTATTCATGCTACATAACTGTTCATTTTCTATGTTCAAATCTCTATGTGTCCTCCCCTCCAGTGTTCATAATGACTTTTCTTTGCTTAAAATTTATTATTCTTTGTTTTTCCCAGGCACAAGTTTTGAGCTTTCTAAGTCATCGAAATGTCATCAAATTTTATGGAGCTGTTAGTCAAGCTCCAAACTACTGTCTAGTCACTGGTGAGTGAATAATGTGTAAAATGGACATGTGACTTGGCCATACACTCAAATGCATGAGATGTTCATATTATGTTCTCACCTCATTTATGTATTAAACTATCAGCCATGGTCACTCGGTGTAGGATGAAAGTGTATTTGTGTGGAAATTTATCTTTTTGTTTGATGTACTGGTACTTGTAGGAACCTGAAGGGCCATCATTAACATGGGGACTTCAGCAGTCAAGTGGTTTCCGAACTCGGGGCCCACAAGCAAGAGTGATAAAGATTGCATGATAAGACTATTCTTGTTTTAAAATATTCTGTAGTAATGCACTGGACAGGGACAAATTTATATCTATGACGTCTGCCTGGGTGTTCTCAGATTGAGATTATACATTTTTTATCTTTTCAATAGGAAGAATGGAAGGTTGGAGGTTTTACTTTTTTGTTCTTTCTCTGGTGTTTCTGCCTATCAGCCTTTCTTTTTCTCTGTGCTTTATAACTGTTATCATGTTGATGTGTCTCTCTTCACTCAAAGTGAAACAGAAAGGGGAAAAAGCATGTACAGCTTCTCAATGTTTAATAATGCAATGTAATACGGATTGCTTTAATTTTTTAACTTTACTTTCTCCCCAATTCTGCATTTAACAATTGTTACTCATTGCGATTTGAGTAAAAGCTATCTTGCCCCCCCCCCATTCAGGATTTATTGGAATTAGAATGCACATCCAGGGTCTCCACACACCATAGGACCACATTTTGGTAGTCATGATGTCATGTGTGAAATACATTTTTAAGAATGGGAGTCAAAATTAACTTTTTAAGTGATTTAATTAAACATATTTTGTGTAATTGTGGCTAATGTGCCACTATCTTGTGCATCTCTGAGTAAGTGAATATTTTACTACTGAAGCTGATGAAAGAAACCAATGTTTTATAGTGGACCTTTGCATAACTTCCTGTCAAGATTTTTTGTTTTGTTTGTATTACTTTTGATCCTGATGGTTTGTTTCTTGTTCAACAGAGTTTGCTCCCAATGGCTCATTGTACTCATACATGCGGAATCCAGAAAATGAAATGGATTTCTTGCAGATTGTAAAGTGGGCAACAGAAATAGCTACAGGTATCTTTGAATGTTGCGTCTGATTCAAATACAGGAACAGTTTCCTTTCTATAATACAGTTTAAAAATTGAAAGCAGTTCTGCCAGACTTGGGCAGTATTGCCCTCTATTGGGTTATTTGGTAACTTTGGTGGGTGGTGGGAATCTCCTGGTAGTGGCAAGTTTTATTTCATGCCCCTCCTCCAAATACATGTGGGTGGGTGATATGAACATTTTAGCTTTTTAATGGTTTCAAAATTAGGCACTAGCTATAAAAAGCACTGATGTACAGTATATATTTGTCAAATTGTTCTTGTTTCTATTTGTTCTTCTGTTATGACTACCGTTTGCATATTGTAGGGTAAGCTGATTTCTTACATGTTGTAATTAAAAGCCCTTTCCTATTGCTTAGTCTTGTAACAGAAGAATGGTGCATAACTTGTAAGAAAAATATTAGAAAGGTGTGTCTTATGCCAAATACTCTTTTTATAATGCTATTATGTTTCAGAGCTGAAAAAGAGGGTTTGCTCATATCACATGACACAATGTTTATGTGTGTTTGATGTTAACTGGTATTTGAAAAATAAAAACATTTGTGTATACATATACATCAATGTTAAGAATTTTATTAAATTTAAAATTTCATTTGGGTACTAAACAGCAAAGATACTAAAATTCTCGTATTTGTGGCTAGGAAAAACAAAGTCTGTGAAATATGAAATGCGAATATGATGAGGGAATAAAGATACTTCTGACGTTTTACTATACTTTTCTTTAACCCACAATGCCTCTAAGGGTCATGGTTATGGTCTGTGTTTTTACCTAAATCCCATATCTTTTCAGAAGTTTTATATTTTTCAAGGTACTTTTGTTTTATTTAGACTGATAGGTTTCCTTAATTTTTGGTAGAGATTCATTTAGAAATTTGTTTGGCCCAAGGTGTCTTTTTAAGTGTGCGCACGTGGATGACAAAGCCTCCCTAGTTATTTTTTGTTGTATCCTTATCTTAGAAAACTTGGTACTCCTGTCTCACTTATCCTGGGATCAGAGGTATGGAAGACTTGACAAGAACTCCCAAAAATATTCACCGGTCTTTCCTGGCTGAACTGGGAGTCAGACCAGGTATTTGGTAGGCAATGTCAATACTTTGTGATATGTTTGATGAAATGTGCGCCCCCCCCCCCAACCCCCCAACACACACACACACACACACACACACACACACACACACACACACACACACACACACACACACACACACACACACACACACACGCTCACACACACACACACACACATGTCACACACACACCTCCCACCCTTAAAGATTACTCAACAGACGTTCTTTTTGTTTTGTTTTTTCCTGACAGGCATGAACTACTTGCATTGGGAAGCTCCCGTTAAAGTGATCCACAGAGATCTCAAGTCCAAAAACGGTAAAGGGCTCCCCCAAAAAATTCTGGCTTATGGCAACTCTGTTAATTTGTTATGATGCGCAGGTCATATAAGTTAAAATCCAGTCTATTTACTGAAATGATTATGTGAAAACTGGTAGAACTGTATCAGAAAGTATACTTAATTTAAAGGTAGATGATTACAGTTTGAAATCTTGTAGATTTGAATTCTATAGCTCCACCTGAAGTTGTTTGGAAAAGTAAGAAAATGATAAGTACAAATGTAAGACAATCTTTATTAAAATAAATAATTTTTGCATTAAGCTGTGGTGTGCTGTTTTTAGTGTGGAATACTTGTACGGAGCACGTAATGGGCTTTGTCATTTACAGTTTTTAAAAAAATGTTTAATTTACATTGGTTTATTTTATGAGAGTTTTGTAGTTGTATTACTTTGTCATGATTGTCTTCGAAATAATGCTGCTCTGGTTAATTTTTTTTGGGTGACAGCAACCATTATGTTTACTTTATATAACAAAGAGTTAGCCAAGGTTTTTCTGGAAGTTAAATCAACTTTCTTACTTCTAATTTTCAGTTGTCATTGCTGAGGATTGGACATGTAAGGTGAGATTGTGTTTGTCTTTCTTCTTGCCTGTGTAGGTTGATTCAAGTGTTCAGTACACAGCAATTGTTTTGCTTGATCGAAGGTGATACTGACAGAAGATGCAAAACTCATTCTGTATAATGTAATGTGTAGTGTGCTCAAAGGCTGATGCTGTGAGATGGCATACTGCAATGTGCATTGAATAGTGATTTGTTCTTGTTTGAAGGGTCATTTATAGTCAGAGGTCTTTTGAATTACTTTAAGCCTCAAAATTGTGAGGGAAGTGGAAAAGTGGTGCTAATTTTTTGTTTAGCATTAAGCCTACCATTTCCTGCTGCACTCTTTCTGATCAATAGTTCTTGACTTATATGAGCTTTGTTATAGCTTCTCATAAATGAAAGGCAAGCCTCCCTCAAGAGCAAGTCATCAATATAATCGAAAATAATCTTCCTTCAGACAACAATAGTAGATCTTCAGGAGATAAGAAGGGCAGATCTAGTGATTTTTGTATGAATCTGAAATATAAACACTTTCAACAAGTGTAACTCAAAAACTGAATTGGATATCTTCAAACTTTGAATATGTCTGCCTTCCAATTTTGAACATTTTGCAATATAAATTTGTACTTTGTTATCTGTGTCGGCTAGAATTTACTTGTATAAAATGTTATGTGCCCTGTGCAACCTGCTCCTGAAAATATCTCTGTCCAAAAGTGGAATGGGTTTCTGTAACGAAGGATTGAAGTAAGATTGAAAGCCTCAGTTTTGTAAATATTCATGACAGCTGAAGAAATGGGCTTTGTTTGTTTTGAGAATATGATTTCATTTTCTGCATTAAAATTTTTGTCTTATCATCAACAATAAAAAGTCAATATTTGTGTTTGTTTCAGCTTTGTGACTTCGGGGCTTCAAGATTTATTGGCAGCACAACTAAAATGTCTCTTGCTGGAACGTTTCCATGGATGGCACCAGAAGTATATATACTTTTTACTCTCTCTCTCTCTTCGTATATACAGAGACTGTAATAATGTTTCTGTGTTTTATGGCTTGTGTAGTGTATTAAACAATTGAACATTAAAACTTTTTTGTACAGCTTAAAGCATTTTCATATATTTCCTTTAATGCCCCAGTAAAGACTTTTTCTTTTTCCAATGTTAGAATGACGAAAGAAATATATCTGTTATGTGTATAGAAATTTCTCATATTCGTTGCAAAAATATTCAGAAGTATAGTTGACCCCGATAGTTTTAGTTTAGTTTAGTAAGAGTTTTACGGTGCTCGCAACTGTATAAGGTGATATGAGCATGAGACCCCGATAAATGTGTACTTTTTGATGAAAGGGCATTGTGTATGTTCAACATTTTTACCACGTTGTAGATAGTCCTTGAGTTCTCCATAGTTATCTTCCATGTAGTACGTCAAAGCTATGGTCATTCATTCGTCTTTGGAGTCATGTACAATTTTTTAACTGACTTTTTGAGGTGGCTGTTATAAATATTTTGGCTCCCCCACCCCTTCTGCCTCTGAACCCCCCCCCCCAAAAACAAAACAAAAAAACAAAACAAAAAAAACCCCACAACAAAACAACAACAACAACACAACAACAGTTTCTTGAATAAATCCATTGACTAAGTACACTGAAAAAATGGAACAAAGAAGCAGTTCCTGTCTGTTCTGAGTTATGTTATTATTAAAAGTGTTATTACTTTCAATAAAAAGAAGCAAAGTAAAGCAATACGGGGTAAGATTGGTTTAAGAATTTGTACGTGCTAGGTTAATTTTTTTGGTCTCTAATCCAAAGATGTGTGCCTTTAGGAAATCCTGGTGGCTCTCATACTAGCGACGCAAAGGCTTTATTGGGTGCACATGCCATCTTTGTGAAGGCAATTTAGATTTGTTTCATTGCTTTTCAGAAATTCTTTATTTTTAATTTGTTAATCTTCACCTGCTTTTGAGGGCAATTATACAATTATACTCTTCAATCATTTACATGAGAATTTCAATTTTGATATTTAGGTTATACAGAGTTTCCCTGTCTCAGAGTCTTGTGATACCTGGTCGTACGGAGTGGTAAGTGAAGGAAAATGTTTCTAGATGACTATGAACTCTTTTAGATTAAATCTGTCAAGCATCAAAAAGTCATAATATTATTTTGAATTCTTACTCACCCAACTTTGTCGCTTTGTCTGATCTTGTATCATTTTAATATTGTCTGGTACTCTTTCGTCCATAGATTTTTTTTCTTTTCAATTTAAGCCTTTTTCTCTAGAATTTGAAAGCTCAAATCATTCTGTAGTTGGGAGTAGTAGCTTTGAAGATGAAGTTGTGATATTATGAGCAAGTTCTAATAATAAAGTTCAGACTGTATTGTTATAATGATCTTGATTATTGAAGGACATTGCATTGTGTATTGAGCAGTTTGTCGATGTAACTATTGACGATTGAATTTTTACTTTCATCAAAGGTGCTTTGGGAACTTTTAACCAAGGAGGTTCCTTTCAATGGGATTGAAGGATTCCAGGTTGCATGGCTTGTGGTGGAAAAAGGAGAGGTAAGCTAAAGAGCCCAAGCGTTTCAAGAATTATTTATCTATATGTGTCACAACGCGGTGGAATCAGGCACTTGTCAATTTTTGAGCTTGAGGAGTTTTTGGTATCCTTTTAAAGCTTGTTTATTTGTCTTGCTTTCCAGGAAAGAATATCCATGTATCTTGAATACATGTTGAGATATTGGAGATTGAAGAAGGTGGGGGTCGCCAGATTTCAAAGGTAAAATTGACAAGTAAATAGCCGTCAAAGTTTGGCTATTTCCTTGGCTTGAGAGTCCGTGGAAACTGAAAATTGACATTTTTTGTGCCTTTAAAAATGTTTTTCCATAAAATCCACACCTAAAAGTGTTTTTGAATGGACATATAAGGTGTTGAACCAAAGGACAAAAATTTGAAAAAAATTTCCAAACTGGCTGAAAAATGCAGATTTCTCGAATTTCAGTGTTTTGACCAGCGCCTCATTTCTCCCTGCTGCCTCACATATGTGTATGCGCCTAGAGAAAGGTACCAAAAGTTGCCCCAGATCGTTTCAAGCTACAGGCTGACAATGGCAAAAATCACTTTTTTGACCAAAATGTGTTTCCTTTAAAAAAGATTATAGATCCACCATTCTTTTTACAATGGGCTCAAAGGGTTTTCATTGATTTGACTTCTAAATATTTTATTTTGAATAATATGTTTTGAATTATTCAACCGTTTTCAATTTCTCATTATGCCCCCAACGCAACGCACGTGTAAAGGGATGTAACTGTGTAATTACCAGTAATTCATGACTTTTTTTTTAGATGAAGTAAATAACGTGTGTTTACATGGTTATGCCCCTTCGCTGAGTGAAATAGAAATTGTGAATATTGAACGAACTAATGACACCTGATTGCTGGTGATTTGCTGGTGATTTGCTCTGGCTGATTTGTCTTATTCCCTATTTAGTTAACCCATGGCTTTACTTTGTTGAGACTGGTTGTTGGATGAGCGGGGTGATTTTGTTACTTAGTGGTTGTGTCTGTGTTGGGTGTGGGGTTGTAACAGAATGTTGTTGATATATCTTACAGCGTCTGATGGTTCCCAGTTCCTGCCCTCCTAGCTTTGGTAAATTGATGGAGCAGTGCTGGCAGCTGGATCCCAAGCTCAGACCTACGTTTAAACAAGTTCTTTCTCATTTGAAGTCGATGTCTGAAGATGGTGAGTGTGTACACATCATTAGTTTGCTGCAGAGGTGGTCTATTGATATTACCTTTTTGGTTACGTTTTTTCTGTTCTAGCTACCTTTAATTTTTTTGGTCATTTTAATATTCTCTTTCTTTCAGCAATGCGAAAGTGATGGAATTATTAGAATTACAATGTGAATAGCAATCACTGAGAAGTTAAAAGAATAACTTGTGGAAAATAAAAAGTAAAAGAAGGAGGCAAGGTAAGGACGATAGATGTTTGATAGGAAAGCACTGGTAAACGACACTAGAGCACATGCCAACCACCCGCTAAAAGAAAATTCAATGATTTGTTAACCTATCAATATATAAGAATTATTTACATTATTTCTGTGTTACTTCTAGTTCTCCTCATGTACTACTTTTCAAAAGTTATTTTTACTTTTTTTGAGTAACATTAATTTGTTGTTGCTCTTACTCTACTTTCATAACTTCTGGTTTTCCATTTACGGTAGTGCGGTGAAAATTTGTTACTATTAAGTGTTGCGTTATTTTTGCTTAGCTTTTATGTGGAAAACGAGTAGTCTTACCATATTTCATCTAGAGTGGGAGGGTGCCACTTTTTTCTCTTTCTCTTTTGTTTCTGTCTCAAATTCAACGTGCTTTTTCCTTGCTCTAAATGACAATTATCATGTCCATGTACTTCTTTCCACTGGAACTATATTAAACTATTTATTGGAGAAGGACTGACAAATCAGTTCTTTGCCCTGTTCAGAAACTGAGGTTCCTTGGCTTTTGTTTTGCTTGGGAATTTGGGACGAACTTCCTCACAATATTGCAGTGATGAGTTATGGCTTGGGGGGACATCCCATCCCATATCTAAAATAACCTGTAAAGGGCTGAAAGTTCAAGTTTAGATTTTAAAAATTATGAATGATATTGTTGTTGTCGTTCTTGATTGAAAAAATCAGTGTTTATACATGCCATGGAGATTCTTTTTATCAGCATGGTGTTTCAAATTTTTCATTGTGTGGTTATTGTTTTTGTGCCATTTGCATGTGTGCTTCATTTTTTTCCCCAACTGTTATTCTTAATTTCAATTCTATCTTCAAGTTTATATTTTTGACATCCAATTCTTTTTGTTTATTAAAAATTATTATTGCTTTTATCCCGAAAAAAGTTTGTAATGATGAAAATCTGCATTGCTTTGACAGAGTCTTTACCTGATTTGACCAACTCCTTCCTGGATCACAAAGGAGTTTGGAAGTGAGTTTCTGTCATTTCCTTGCTCTTTTTTTAAATATGAGAATGTTTGTTGTTTAATTGTGATTTGCATTTCCTAACAGTTCTGGGTCATTATTTTGTGCAATATTTGTTTTGTTGAGAAAATGACTGGATTTTGTTGTTCTACCTAATTTTTAATACTAGGTTCTCGTTTTCGAATGTCAGTGCTGTGACTCTTGCAGCTTTCGGCAATTTATCAAGGATTGTTTTATTAGTAGTATTTCTGGATAATTGTATTGTTTTCTGTGTGTTGTATGTGGGTTTTTTTTGTACTGATGGAAGCCTTGGCCTTTGCCAACAGAAAAGAGATTCAGGCAACCCTAGAGAGGCTGAAGAGAGCAGAAAGAGACATTAGCCACAGGGAGCAGGAGCTTAAGGAGAGAGAATTGAAACTGAAAGAAAGAGAAAGATCGCTTGGACAGCAGTTTAATGTTGTGGTGAGTTCTGATTTCTAGGAAAACAGAATGGTTTCAGATACATTTTCTGCTTTGTTTTAAGGAAATTGCATTCAGAAAATAAAAGCTTTACCTTTTTGTACTGAGAATGGCATCTTGGGAAAACCGAATGAGACTGAGAGCACAATTAACAGAAGTTGTTTGTTGAAAAAAACAGAGGGACTAGCTTGTTGGAAAAATCTAATTAATTTTGGGCTTTCAGTGTTCCTCTCTGATGTTTGCTTTGCACCGAAGAATTTTTGCATTGTTTTCTACTTTTTCCTTCACTCTGATCCAAGCTACAAAAGGATGTCTTGATGTGCTGATAGGTTCATGAATGCGTGTGTTTTTGTTCATGGGGCTTATTAATTGGAACATCATTCATTGAATTTGTTTTAGCTGTCTGTTTAATATTTTATCAGATGCATACATTTCCAGCTGTTCATCCATGGTGCAACAATAGCAAATTATGTTTTCAGCTTTACTGTTATATTTTAATATGAAATTGAATCAATGTTATTATATTTTTTTTCCAGAAACTAGACGACTATGATGTTAATACTTGGAGAGATGTAGATGTGGTATGTGAATATAATCTAATTTTACAGGATAGATAAAGAGCAGTGTATCCTTACAGTACAATCTAAAGTACTGAGAAATCAAGGAAAAGTTAAAGATGCCAGTTATTGAACTAGACTTGCTTTGAGGAAATATTTTGCAATGGCCTGAGTTATAAGCTCTGTTTGAATGAAAATGATTATTGAAGGCAATATTGGAACTAACGTTCTAGGAAATAAAGTTTCGGTATTAAATTTTTAAAGTCTCTTTCACTTCTTTAATGTGATAATGTCTTGAAACATTCTTTTCTGAAATTTACAAATTTCATAGTAGTTCTTGAGACTCTTAATGTGGTTATATCCCTGTTTTGCATAAAGTACACTGAAAACGAAACACTGTTGGGAAGTGCATATAAATGAGGACAATGAGAGAGATTTTGGTTTTGAAACAAATGCTAACATTTTTCTCCTCAACTTGATAATGCAACATTTAACCCACAAGGGTTTTATATCGAATGCTGCAGTATTTTTTGGTTTCTTTTTATATTGTAGAGAATTGTTAGTGTACTTGATTGGTTTGTGCTGTTGCATAGATTCGTACCTTTTAGAATTTCTATATTGCTTCTTAACTTTAAGTCGTCTAGTTATGCAATATTAATAAAAAGCTGCTTATTTGAGTATCTTATTGTAAATGACTGATATTTAAAATAAATTGTTTTTTCCTCTCTTTGTCCCACTACCCTTTTCTCTGATATCAAGTATCAATGGGTAATGCAGCAGAGGACTTCAGGTAAGGTTTTTGATATCTCTTGATGATTTTGCTTTAGTTTAAATAAGTTTGTGAGCAAGGTTTGTACTTTTTGATATCTTGCTCATAGGAGCTTTTTAAATTTGAGAGTACCCTCTGTTCATTTCTAGTTGTACAAGTAGTTTAAGTCACCCTATTAATGATATGATCAAGATTTTGCTAATTTGAGTTGATGCCACCACCAAAATGACATTTGCCTGGTGTAGTTGCCCATGTAGTGTTTCGGTGGAGAGAAACTTAGATCCTGCCTAGGAAACAATGTGCGTGTTCAAAATCACTGTTGGTGAATATGTTCTTCTTCTTAACTTTCCCTGTAGTTGGACGTTGCTTCTCAAACCTTCCTGCAATAAAACGCTCTGTCTCCTGCCATTCTGCCTTCCTGAGTTGTTTTGGTTCCAAGCCAAGTATATATCTATTTCCTGTTCCCATCTTCTGTTAGAGATCATTACCTTCCCCTCTTGGTCTCTGCTTTGCTTCCGGGATATGCTTCTCAAGTTAATCATGGGGTTTTATATTCTCAAAGTAGCTACATTATGCCAATTATTTAAAAAAAATGTAAAGTGGACTTCCATATTTGTTCCCTGAGGCTTTGATAAGAATTTCAGCATCTGATATTCTTAACACATGGAGCGTGTTATTAGAACTATTCAATGATGTGACTCTTTCTTTAAGATGTGTTTTATTTATTGGTTTTGTTTTTCTTGTAGGCCATACAGCTGACTTAGCTCAGTATGCAGACTTGTTCCTGACTAATCACATCACTGGACGTCGGCTCCTGAGGCTAACACCAGAGGATTTGAGGAGCATGGGAATTTCCAGTGTTGGGCACGTTCTTGATTTGCATGTAAGATAGGAGGAGTGGGTGGGGGTTGTACCTTATTTTTGCTTTGTGTGCATAAAATCCGAAGAAATGGGTATGTGTGGTTGACGGTGCTCAGGTGTGGTCTGCCCCTCGGCCTTATCAAACATCTATTTTCCTAATCTCTCCTCTGTCTATGTTACTCTTTAGAAACACTTCTAATCTTTGGCACTTATGTAACCTATTTGTGTTGCAAGTGCTGTAAAACTCTTACTAAAACTAAAACTAAAGATCATTTACATGCTCTGGAAACTCTTTAGAAACACTTCTAATCTTTGGCTCTTATGTAGCCTATTTGTGTTGCAAGTGCTGTAAAACTCTTTCTGAAACTAAAACTAAAACTCATTTCCGTGCTTTGAATGTCGTCACAGATTGCGTTTGTATGCTTGAGTGAAAGGACATGATAATGGAAGCAGCAAGACATGCATAGTAAAAAGACAGATAGTGGAGAAGTAGGTTCTATGAGTAGTTTCCTCCAACCACTTTCAACACATTGGCAGATGATAGAGTAAATTAGTGGGGTTACTGACAGAGTTACGTTTTGCCTGAATTTGAAGTTTCTTGTAAAAACTACAGTCAAGTCATGGAAACATCCCCCCCCCCTCTCTTTTTATGGAAAAGTTTTGTTCAGATGAGATGCAGAGAAGTGGTCTGATTATGGTAGGACAGAGGTTATGAGAGCTGAGGGTCACAGAGATTCTATATTTGTGAGAATTTTTATTCAACAGCTGCTTTTTTTTTTGCAGACATGGATATTATGAAATGCCACAAAGATAAATTTTAGAGAACTTGAATTCAGCATACAGCTTTTCTAATTTTATGCTGTGGATGACTCTCATAAAAAACTCTTTTCCTTTGCTTGACGTTCATTGTCTGTTTTGTCCTTTACATTTTTTTTCCAGTTGGAGATAGAAATGCTGAAGGCTCACAACTTTCGACTCCTGAATTTTCCGCCACTTTTGAAGCAGGTGAGTTTTAGTGTTAATTATGCCTTAATTTTTCACCATGAACACATGTGAAAGAAGTATGCATTACATTCTGGACATATTGTGACTTTAAAAGAGAATTAAATCTATACATATACTTCAAGAAATTTACACAGTTATTACTTTACACAAGTGCTTTCAACTCTTGGGTATATTGGGTTTGCCAGCTTTTCTGAATTTTCTTGGACCTTCCTGGATTTGGGCATCAGGAAGCTTTATCACATATGCCAACCAAAACTAGTCCCATATGATGTAATTTTTTTCATTGTTAAGATCTCTGATGTTATAATGTTGAGTGTCCCCCTAATTGGGTTTTGAAAAGGTTGGCGAGCCTGGTATATTTTCTTGTAATTTCCCTTTTTTTAACTATTCATTTATATCCGTCCCTATATTTGATTGCAACTTTTATACAACTTTGATTTCTTCCTTCCCTGGTAGGAACCTTCAAGTCCTGAAAAGGAGAGCAAAGAGTCTGTGTCTATCATGCTGATATTTGGTCATCATTTGAGGAAGGGCATGTCTCCTGAGGTAAGTCTGAAACAATTAAGAACTTTGTGCCACATTTTCCCATGGTGATATTTGTGGGTGTCTTTTTCATCCTGTTATTTTCTAAAAATGAGTTTAATGGGCTGTTAGATACTGATAGGTTATTTTGACGACAGACAGTAAATGACCTTGGCGCTCATATGACCTTATGTAGTTGCGAGCGCCGTAAAACCTCTAATAAAACGAAAACAGTGAATTAACACTTTCCCCACCACAGGACGCTGATTGGTGCCAGTATAACACAGCAACCAAAACGTTGTAGGAATGATCTCCTTCTAGACATGCACTCTTGTAAAAGTTATAACTTCCTTCCTGAATGGTTTGTGTGGCCTTTGATTATGGGAATCAGTTTGTTTACAGCAGTTAGAGTGAAAATCTTTAAAAGATGTCCAATAGATCTAGCATGAGTGCTGCTTTAGTGTTGTTATGATGAAAATATGAGTGATGAATGTGCTAGATGTAATGTTTTAAGTTCTGATTCTGATTCCTAATTTGATGAAAATGCGATTGTTATGCAAAATTTTCTCAAAGTGCTAGAAATGTCATACTGATCGGAGTGTTTTTTGCCGGGATACAAGTAAAGTACTGATGTTCACCATCTGCTTTCTGGTACGTGAGAAGAAAGGCCTTGCACTGTGCATGCTGCGTGGGTGAAAAGTGTTAAGGTGTCAAAGCTTTTGTTTCTATTACTCTGACACCTATCGTTGACAGATCAGGACCTGAAAGGTTGAGAGTAAACTGTATACCAAACATTAAGAAAATATACAAAGCATTAAGAAAATATACAGCCCTTATTCTAGTGAGGTTGTTGTGCACATTTTCCACTTCACTATGGGGGAAGTTTCACTCTCTGTTGGAGGGATAGGGAACTATTTATATCTCGCAGTATGCTTGAGGTATGATTTTTTAGTAAATTAATTTTTTTAAAAAGTCTCTTTCCTGTCTGATGCCATGGGAGATGCATATGAAACCAGGTTTTGACTTTCACTTTTGAGAGGTGTAAAGAAAACAAGAAAGGTGATGTTGGATTGTTAAGGGACCAGAGGTTCTTTTAAAGTGCAAACAGTGAGGCTTTATGTTTGGGTTTACTTGAAGAGAGAGAGAGAGCGAGAGAGAGCGAGAGAGAGAGAGAGAGAGAGAGAGAGAGA